GTGACCTGGGATCTCTACTGACTAGACAAGCTTATAGTCTTGGTTAGAAGTGTAGCTCTAATTTTCAAAAGAACCTGAGGTCTCTAACATCTCTCAGGTGGCTACAGCACAAGAAGGAAATCCTGCTGAATGGTCTAATAGAGGTCACACCTTGTGAGATTGGATACTGGGGTCCTGCTTGCTTTATCATGTCTTGGTCTAATGACTGACTGAAATGTGGGCAAATGAGCTGAGGACAGAATTCCAGGCTCCTCCTGCCTCTTCTCCTAGATCCATGTGTGTGACTGATCCTGCAGAGCATGAAGGGTGCCTGTCCTCATGTTGTGACTTTTCACTAGATGAAGAAAACTTTCTTCAGGGGCAGAGTCTGCAACTTCAAATCCCCAGAGGCTAAGTTCTGACTTCCAGAGCAGAGGAGTACCCTAAGGAGCCTGGCAAACCACGGTCTTCATGATAACATGGGTGTCAACAGCTGGAGCATTGCTGGGTGTTCATGTCAGTGTGGTTAAGCAAAGGCTGGTGAGGATGGTTTTCATCAGGGCACGTCAGTGCTGGAGTGTTCTCAGCACCTCAGCTCTGAAGGCTCACTGCTGTCACGAACACAGGCACCTGGAACTGAAGTTGCAATCTGAGGCCTGAAAATGCTATTTCGTGTATCTCCTTAGGAGGTTTTAGGTATCTCAGGGAGATGTTTATCAAAGGTTCAATTTGGCCTAGGGAGGATAATCCCCCCTGGTTGCTCTGTGGGCAGTGAGGGCAGCAGGAGCCTGCAGTTCAGTCCAACCCACCCATGCCACAGTACGTGGCCAGATGCGTGGTCTGTGCCTTTCCACTCTCTGTCACGGGGTGCCACAGCTCTCAGCTGCCCTTTGGAAATCCCTGCAAAGATTATTTTTGCCAATAATCTGGGAATCCAGAACTTGTGTTTGGAAAGAAATTTAGGGACTGTTAAAGATGCTTTGGAGGAAGGTGTGGGGAGGCAAGCTTTGCTCAGAGCTGGCATGCCCAGCAGCCCATCTCCCTCATCAATGACTTAGGCCTCTTCAGAAGTGAAGGGTACCATAGCTGAGCTCTGTCCATGCTTCCCACTTCAGCTCAGCAACAACACAGGATTGCAACAGACAGTCCTTCTTATTCATCTCTATTTTCCCATCTGATCTTTGCAGACCAATCAGAAACAGTTCACCAAACAAAGATAAGCAATATCCCAGAGAACTTTAAGAAATTACTCCTTATCACCCCTCCTGAGGATAGGCTCAACGGTCAAGGCCACAGTTAAATCTTCCTTTTCTTGTAAAAGTTAACTGAAGTTAGTTATTAAAGTGCTGGCAGTATTTAGGGAGGTTCTGGAGTGAAGAAGAGCACAAGATACCTGCACTGCCTGTGAAAATTTCAGGGGCATCTTTATCCAAAAAAATCTTGGTGTAGTTTCTTCTGAAGAGCTTCCTGGAAGATATACCAGGTACAACTTAAAATTTTCATTTTAGATACGAGATATGTGAAGTGATGCTTAAAAATTAAATGCCATAAATGCTTATAGATGCTTATAAATTAAAGTCATGTGCTTTAGTTTTTGTAAAATATAAAAGTTTCCTTGTGGAATTTCTTTGTATTTTTCAGTTGTTTATATTGCAGAGAAGTTCAATTTCTGAGTGCTAAACATAGATTTAAAAGTGAGATGGACCATGTTAATATTTTATTATTCAATTAAAATGATATATTTTTGTGTACTTCTTAGTCAATATTTAGGATAAATCAATTAAGGGAAAAAATATCCTTTGTTAATCCTCTTAACAAGATGGCACACATGAAAATATACATTTCCAAGATTTCATAGAGCTGAGGGATTAGCTGTGGAGTTAGCGTGAGAAATGGTAATGCTTTTAATTTCTGACCATGGGAACAGGATCAGAGGCTATATGGACTAAAACTGAACCAGAATGTTGCCTCTAGAGCTCTATTTCAGGTCTAGTCTTGGTCAAGAGTGACTGAAAGTTGTAACCACTCAACAGCTGTGCAGTGTGAGCTTGGTCTGTGCTGGTGTTCCTCATGTGTGGATGGACACATTATAGAAGTCATCAGAAGAATTGGTCTTGTCCCCCAAGGAGCCCAAGGCACTCTAGAGAGGCAATGTGGGTTACTGGAGTACAGACTTCTCTTTTAAGGAATTTCTGAAGGACATTGGCCTTTACCATGCTGGTACTTTCCACAATATCCTCCTTATCTTTAAAATATCTAAAATAAGTAATGCCTAGCTGATAAAAAGCCTCCCTATTCTGAGGGCATCCCATCTTTTTTAAGATATATGGGAAGAAAATGAGAGTGGGCAAGAGGAAGGCAATACTGGCTGCACTTGTGGTATCTGACAGCTGCTGACAGAGCCTTGGAAGAGGGAATGAGACAGGAGAAGCTTGCCTAGCACCAGTGGTCATCTATCTGCGGCAAGGTAGCTCCGTGTGGTCCTGTTTACCTGCCAGGGAGCAGGCTGAAGGCACCTTCCACTGCGCTGCAGGTGCCTGGGCTGGCTTGGTTAAACCTCACTGAAGCACAGCACTGTGGTGTTTAATGCAGACTTCAGCTTGCCAAGGCTCCTGGTCCCCCCTGCAGCTCTAAGCCATCAGACCCCAACAAAGTCTGAAAATTGGGGGGGCATTCAGGAGGTAAAAAATACATGCAAAACACTTACACCTTCAATGAGACCAGCACTAATAAACCAAAGGGTGTTTATAGAGTTGTGAAGAAGCTATTGTATGCTTCCTGAAATTGGGGCAGTAAGTTTTGCCTGAAGAACAACTGGGCAAGGGGCAGGAGGGACAACTGAAGTAGTCTCAAAAGCTACAGCAGCTACAGCACTGAGGAAAATCTGAAATGAAAGAGTCACCCATACACGTCTTTTATTTTTATGGCTTATGAACTTTTCAAAGGGTACAAATAGTACATCTTGTGCCCTATAATGTAATGGACAAAACTGTTCCACAGGACTTTCAGCAATATCCCTCTTTGTGACATGAACTCTAAAAGGCAGATATACAGACTAGGAAACAGAGCAATTTAAAAACTTTTAATAGATTAAACAATTTCTTGCAAATCTAAGTAATCACAATTTATCAGGGAATAAACTGAACTAACTAATTTTTTCATTGAAATTTTCTCAGCCTCAGTTTTGGAGCTCTGATCCCAACAGACGGAGGCATAGCAGTGTAAAATTACAGATCAGAGTATTATTTTAACTGGCTTTGGATCAGTGTTTTGAATGAGCTTAGATTTTGAGCATTTGCTTGCTAGAATAATTGCCTGCCAGTTTTTGGAAAATATTACCTATCAATTTTTTTTATGTTAAAACAAAGAGTAAAAATGTTTAACCCATTGCCAAAATAATGAATCCTTTGTGCAAGAATAGTATGTCAACAAAATATCTAAGATGTTGTTAACATTGTTTGGACTTCTACACATGTCTATGAATTTCCACAGAATGAACAACAAGGAAACTAAAACGAAATCACTTCAAATAGGTCAATAGTAGGCTCTGAGCTGTAGCAAAGTTTCAAGATAGGATTCACATTTTAGTGCCAAGATCATCATAGATTAAAAGCTTTTCATCTTTGTTCATAACAAAGCAGCTTTGTGCCACATTAAAATCTGTGCTGTGATATTTCCAGATATTGAGTACTCACAGGTCTGAGTTAGAAATGCATGTAGGGTGTTTCAGCAAGAGTCAGATGATAGACATGAGCAAGGAACTGGTGCTGGTCAGGCATCTGTCAAGAGACCACCAGCCAGCACCAAGGCACCGTGGAGCATTTTCATTAAGGGAGAGAAAATAAGTTTAAAAACTCTATTATCAGTGTCCCAAAAGACTACTTGCTTCCTACAGCACATCTTCATCTCTGAGTCAAAACAAAATAGAACAGGATCAAACAGATTAGTTCCAGCTGGAAGGATCTTACAATGATCGTCTAGTCCAACTGTTGCTACAAAGAGCAAGTTCCACAGCTTCTGTCTGGGACTAGTACTATATTAAACATTTAGTGGTGGCTTCAACTGAGAGAAATATTTTTAGATAGTACAAGTTTAAGGTGAATTTAATGTGGCAAGAATGTGTGGCATAATGAGAAATGTGACAGCACAGTGAGCAGCTCAGTGATTTAATCAATTAATTGCTGCAAAATACCCAGGGGTATTGACTGAAGTGAGTGATGAGCAGATCCATTCTCATGTGTTATGTGGGCTCCATGAGTCATTTCTGGAGTGACCAGGACAGTTTCTCTTCAGCACAAGCATGTAAATGTGAGGTGAGACAAGGCAGAAAATAGCATTCAGGTAAGACATTGCAACAACTGTTCGTGAACATGCAGCAGAGGAGAAGCAATCCAGACAATCTGTGGAAATAAATCTTACAAATAACAAGCAGCAATATTATGCTTTTTTACTACTGAGCCTGATCTCCTTGTCGCACAAATCCAGCCCAATACATTCAGCCTTGTCTCTGAATCCAAGAGAGGATGGCTGAGCCCTGCTTGGTCTCTGCCTTTCCCTTATGTGTGGGATAGAGTGAGCTCCCAGCCCTCCCAGCAGTGCCACAAAGAGAAACTGCTTGGGATCTGCTTGTTTGTTCTTTAGGAGATTAGTTTCCTTTGAGGGAGGAAGTTTTTGATTGTACACGGCTGAGTGAGAGATAAATTAACTCAAAAACCATCTTGTCCACTTTTTGGCTGCATCTTTCGAAAGAAATACTTCATGCTCCAGTGAAACACTGCTCTGCAGTGGGAGGAGGAGCAGGGCAGGAGATCACCTTGGCAAAGTGAAGTGGGTGTCTCAACCATCCCTCTTTTGATCTTCAAAGGTGGAAACGCTCAGTTTGGAGCTCACTCAGCTATGCTATGGCTCCCTGCCCCACAGTACATAAGGAGCTAACCCTGTTCTTCATTTCAGGTTTTTAAGTGCCTGGAGCAGAGAGGAGCACACACAAGTAACCATCCTATCCTGACATTTCAGGAGAAATGGTTGAACCTGTGGGTAACCATTATGTTATAGCCAGACCTGTGTACTCGGAGAATGCATTCAATGAAGAGCATGAGAAATTGCACAGATACCATAAAACCTTTTGGGATCACCTGAAACTCTATTTTAGGTAAGGAGATTTTTTTTTTTAAAGTTAGATCTAAGAAACAGTCCTGACTGCTCTTGGACAGCATGAGCTTCATTGGGACAGTGTCCATCTCCCATTCCAATATAGCAAGTGAAAATTCATTAACTAAATTCAATGTCAGATTTTTCTAATGGATTTTGACTGCTGTTACCCTTAGAAGTCTTCCTACAGCTGTATGTAAGGTAGCTTCTCTTTTTCTGGGCCCTTGGCAGCACAGACTCTAGGAAGCCCTTACTGCACCCTTTCAGTACTTAAAGCGGTCCTGTAAGAAAGACATACTCAGGCTTGTTACCATGGCCTGTTGCAGCAGGACAAGGGATGGTGGTTTTAAACTAAAAGAAGGTATATTTGGACTGGATATCAAGAAAAAATTTTTTATAATGAGGGTGGTGAGGTACTGGCACAGGTTGCCCAGAGACATGGTGGATGCCCTCTCCCTGGAAATGTTCAAGGTTAGATTGGGCAGGGCTCTGAGAAACCTGACCCAGTGGGTGGCATGCCTGCTTGCTGGGGTGGAGGTTTGGATTAGATGGCCACAGAAGGTCCTTTCCAAACCCAAGCCATTCTAGGGTTCTATGAGTATTTGGTTTAGAAAGGAGCTCTGAAGGCCACTGGATGTACTTTGGAGCACAGATGGCAGTGCAGATTGATCAGGGCTGTGTCTGGGTGGGATTTTGACTTCTGGCAGCCTGAATCCTTCTCCTTTTCTCACCTCTCTGAAACAGTCTGCAATTCAGCCAAGCCGTTCACTGACAAAATTTTGTCCCCTTGTACCTTTGCAGCTGCTCCCCACAAAGGGCCAAAAAAATTGCTTTGGGTTTGTTTCCAGTTGTTTCCTGGCTGCCAGCGTACCGCTTCAGGGAGTGGATCCTGAGTGACATCATCTCTGGCATCAACACGGGGCTCGTGGCTGTGCTGCAAGGTACCTCTGGGAAATGTGTGTCCTGACACAGCCTGCTAAGCCAGGTGCCAAGGCACTGCTGGCTTTAGCCTGCAACACACACGTCACCTTCCCTGGGCCTCTGTCTTTACAGGTCTGGCCTTTGCTTTGCTGGTGAATGTCCCCCCCAGTTATGGACTCTATGCAGCATTCTTCCCTGTCCTGGTCTATTTTATCTTTGGCACATCGAGACATATCTCAGTGGGTGAGTTCAGGCACACTGCTTACCCTCCTCAGTGATGAAGAACTACATGCTGCCTCTTCAGATCTTTTAACGAGTGCCTTGTGCTGCTCAGGTCCCTTCCCTGTCCTGAGCCTCATGGTGGGAGGAGTCGTCACCAGGCTGGTCCCTGATGACAGCACTGGAAATGGCAATTCCACAAATACCTCAGCAATTAATGATGAGAGGGTGATGGTGGCTGCATCTGTAACCTTCCTTTCTGGGGTCGTTCAGGTTGGTGAATGTATGTGTGTGTGCACACCTATGTGAATAGATGGAGGGTGGCCTGACCTTCCCCTCTGCTTTCTGCTGTTGTAGTCACCAAAGTAATCCTCTTCCACTTTCCATGTAGCCCACCCTGGCTCACTGATTAGAAGACATCTCTTCCCTCCAGTGAGCAGGCACTCACATGTGCTGTAAATCCTTGGTTTTGCACAGGCCTGAGCCCACAACCCACACTCCTGCAACCTACACCTACAGCAAAAAACAATCTGCTGGATAGGAAAAAAAAGCTGTGAAAGTAATGTGAATGATGCAGATGCACCAAAGGGAGTAGAAGCTCTGCCTTGCAATAGTAAAATGCACGTATTTGTTTTTTAAAAAAAAAATAAAAAAAAAAATATCCTTACTCCCAAATAAGGAATTCCTACAGTTCCTCCCTTCCTGACATGCTAACATATTTGTTGCTTCATGAAACACTTGTACTATGTGAAAATATAGGAACTGAAAACCCTAGAAATAAAGATGTATATTTTAGCTATAAAATAAAAATAATGGGTTTTAAGTGCTGTAGAAATTATTCTTACTAGTATTATGCCCTCTGTTTCTAAATGTCAACTTTTGTTGCAAGTCTGGTGAAGGCACATTCCTTAATCTCTGGATGGATGGGATTAGGTGAAAATCTTTGCTTTCATTAAGTATGGCTGTCTTGCTTTCAAAGATTGCTTAAAAATACAAATTAATCCCACTGACCTATGCTCATTTTGTGTTTCAGTTGCTTCTGGGAATTTTCCAGTTTGGATTCATCGTTATATATCTATCACAATCATTAATTAGTGGTTTCACAACTGCTGCAGCTATCCACGTTTTGGTATCTCAGCTGAAATTCATGTTTCAGCTACCTGTCCCCGGATTTAATAAACCATTTGGCATCATCTATGTAAGTGCTAGGTGTTCATTGTTTGCTAATTATTGATATACCTGGGATGTATTTCTGACTGTGTATCACAAGGCAGTAATAGCAAATCAGCAAAAAAATACAAAGCAGGAGGAAAAACAAGAGAAAAATGAGAATATGTTATTAGTATTTAGCCAATATTTAATTTTATTACCAAGCACCAAGTTACACCCCATTGGGATAATTAGGTAATATTTACTATTTTGTGTTGGCATATTTCAATTAAGCATTCAACTCTGCTTTAAGGATTTAATTATTCATTTTTGCTGGACTGATATTATACATATTTAATTTGTATATGACTGTGAGGGCTATTGGATGAGAAAGGAGGGACGAGAAGAACAGGAAGGAAGGAGTGGAGAAAGGCACCTGCCCAGCAATGCCACAGCTCACATTTGCTATCACAGACTTGCCTGTTGTTCCAACCATCCCTCTGGGGCAAATCTGGAGGAGAGGGTCACAACTTAGTGGAAAAGGTCTTTTGCAGGTGCTTCTGTCATTTGGCAGATGCACATTCATTCAGGGGGGCTTGCAGTCCACATCATACCACAGGGAATAAATCCCAAACAGCACAACCCTTGGAGCCATTCAGATACAGGTTCTTCTGGAAGGGATAGTGCTACTGTGCCAGGGCACAACCGTTGCTAGAGCACCACGTTTCTTCCTGATTCTGCAGACTCTGGAGAGCATTTTCAGCCAGATCACAAAAACAAACGTTGCTGACCTTGTCACATCACTGGTTGTCTTGCTTATCGTGTTTGTGGTGAAAGAAATGAACGATCGATACAAGGAAAAGTTACCGGCTCCCATCCCGATCGAGCTCCTTGTGGTGAGTCGCTTCCTTTGATTCTGCAATTGCTCCATGTTACGACGTGGGAAGCAGAGTTTTAACTATTTCTTCTCCTGTTATCTACTAAATGATGTGTTATCATTTTACCTATAATTCAAAATTTACAGCATTCAGGAGCTATTGTGAGATGTTTTACTTCCACATAGCTGTTCTTAACTGAACATATCTGTGGTGTTATAAACTATGAATTTTTTGCTTGGACAGAATTGGCTCTGACACCAGCCAGCTGCAGTCTCACAGCTGAGGCCCCTCTGCACCACACCTGCAAGCAGCCACTGAACTCCTGGATATCTATGGCCACACACAAAATTATTTTGCCCTCCAGCAGCAGAAGGTTTTGCCCACTCTGAGCAGCAGAGGGGTGGAGGAAGCTTCACAGGGGCAGCAAGCCCCTAAAATTCTGGAGGATGTATAGACTCAAGCAGCACTTTTTTTCTCCCAGAGTCATTACAGCACCTTGTTAAAACATACCTGGTTTACTGGGTGGGATGATCTCTGTTGTTAGTAAGATATTCTGTTACAATCTGTGTGGTTTATAAATGTAAACCCATATTTGTAAGGTCATTCAGGAATGACATCTGAACAGCAAAGGGATGTGAAAACCTGGGCATAATTCTGCCACTAGTGATGAGGCTGGACAGTGTGCAAGAGAAGAAAGGTGTTTAATAGATTCTTCACACTCTTGCTTTAATGTGCCTAATGAAGGTGTTGTTCATTATCTTTCAGACAATCTTAGCAGCATTGATTTCCTATTTTGTCAACTTTGAAGAAAAATTTGAAGTAGCTGTTGTTGGAAAACTAGAGGAAGGGTAAGTCACTTACAATTCTCCAGTGGAGCAAGATGTTCTCTTTAGTTTGGCAGTGTTGAACGAGTTCAGCTATGTTTCTGATTAAAATTATCTGCTTTATCTTCTTCAGTAGGTAAATAAACATTTTTCTCGCAATGGTATGACACACTTTCAGTACACAGAAGTTACACTCTAGAGCACATCTCTTACTTATCAAGGAGTACACTGAGACACGAAATAATTGTCCTTCACTTTCTGAGACAGCTGGTGAGCAGGAGATTGATGTTTGTCCTTTTTATTGAACTACTTACTCCTGAACTCCTCCATTTCCCTGACAGCACATGCACAGTTTAGCAGCCACCACCAGTCCTGGGAAGCCACCAGGACCCTGCACAATTCTCCTGCCTGGTCCCATGACCAGCCATCAGCGTCTCTTCCGCACTATTATCCTCCAGAGGCCTCAACATCTGCCCGTCCAGGACTATAGCCACATAAAAATGATTTCTCCACATATAGAACAAAATTTTGGCATAAAGAATCAGGTGGCACATGTCAAGTTAAAAAGAGGGAGGAAGACATTTACTAGGACAGCAGAGTGAGTCTGGAGTGGTCTCTGTAGCCCGGGGTGTTAGCAGGTGAAGCTTGCAGAGCAACAGCTATTTCTGCTTGTGAGTCTCCTTTCTTCAGATTTCTGTTGACTGGAAAAAAAAAAGAAGGAGGAAAAAGAAGTCCAGAGAGGAATTCTCCCTAGGGTCTGCAAAAGACCCTTAGGCATCTCCTTAATGAGTTGGGATTTTTGTCTTTCAGGTTCCACGCGCCGGTTGCACCTGATGTAGGCATCCTCCAGAACTGTATTGGTGATGGCATTTCCATCGCAATCGTTGGGTTTGCAGTAGCCTTCTCCGTGGCTAAAGTGTATTCCATCAAGCATGACTACCCAATAGATGGCAACCAGGTAGGCAAATAACACAGAGATCAATATACTGCATTTATCAATGGGAAATAAGTAATTTTAGGAAAGCTTTGCCTTGTGAATAACTGTCACAAACCAGCTCTTAAGGACAATCTCTTTTATTTTTATTTCAGGAACTAATTGCTTTTGGGCTGGGTAATATAGTTGGTGGATCATTCAAGGGATTTGCCTCCAGCACTGCTCTGTCAAGATCAGGTGTGCAGGAGAGCACAGGAGGCAAAACACAGGTACAGAAGACAACAAGTCATGATGGCATTTAATGAAAGACAACTCTTTTTTTCCCTAGCTAACCATCATGCCTGTGGGCACTTATTCATTGTGGAATTGTTCTCTCTTGCAGATTGCTGGCATTATCTCATCTGTCATTGTTTTGGTTGTGATCTTGGCCATTGGGTTTCTCCTGGCACCATTACAGAAGGTATTCACTGGTTTCATCTAATGCTTCCTCCTTTTCCCAAAGACAGGGCTGCTCTCTGAGCATACTGAGAGTGTTCATTGGCTTCAGTGGGAGCCAAAAAGGTTTGAAAAGCTTGGTTCTTCTTCCCACGTTATGCCAGAAAGGACCCCTACATCTGGTCCCTCAAAGGGAACACAAATACCCAAACACCAAAACTTTCAGGTGCCAAAAATAAGTGAGATTTACAGCTTCAGTCAGCCACCTGCACTGCAACACAGCTGAGGATGTTCCAACAGCAGTGTACACTGGGAGCAGCTCCCTGGCCTTTCAGCTGCACTTTGGACCTATTTGTATCATCTTTTAATTCCTAATGCTTTATATTTTCCTTTCTTACTTAAACAATGAACATGTGTTTTGGTCTTTTTAACAGTCAGTCCTTGCATCTTTGGCTCTTGGCAATTTGAAAGGAATGCTCATGCAGTTCAAGGAAATAGGCATCCTCTGGAGAAAGGACAAGTGTGACTGTGTAAGTGGAGTTTCACAAGCAGCAGAAGTTAAATGCTCTGAACAAGTAATCTATTATACAAATGTTCTTTTTTTTATCCGTTTTACTTCACTAAACAGAAAATACAATATTTGCATGCCTTTTTTACTGGTATATCCCTTGTTAATGTTTTCCATTTTGTCCCATTTATTTGGAGTAGATTCTCACTCATAGTTAATTTTCATCCACTTCATCAAAATCTATTAAAATAGTGCATTATATGAAGTCAAATAGAGAAGACAGTTACAGAAAATGCCTAAATGACAGAAAGTATCCAAATGTCTATTGCATTTACTAAGCATTTAGGGACATTTCTCACAATCACACAATGTGTCATATGGAAGATACACAGCAACAAATAATTGAAAACTGAGACTTGAAGGGTTTAGTCCAAATCGTAAAGATTCTGGCTAGAGGGCAGGACTCATTGCCTCTCAGAAAATTTAGGCTCATAAATGATTCCAGGCCACAGTTTTCCCAGCTATCAAACTATTTGCCCCATGAAAATGCTTTGAACTCTGTGGCTAAAAGTTATTCAGTATTATCTAGTAATTTATCAGTTGTGTACACTCACAGCACCTATATTTGCACATTTACAACTCTCAGCTTTACCAGATTTCTGATTCACTTCTAATCTTGCCTTTCTGCTGGATTTTCATTAAGCATTTACTGAGCCACCTATGCCATTTTAAGCTTTATTGTCTAGAAATTGTTGTCCCTAGAAACACTCCCTGGTGCTGGTTGGTGACTCTGGCCTTGTTTCACAAGGAAAAAAAAAAACCTTACCAAAAGCAGATAGATGGACATGCTGGACCAGATCTGAGATCTATTTCTGCTCCCACCCTGAGCTCATGATCCAGGTTCTTGACATGTTTATAATGTTGCCATGCACTGTGTCCCTACAGATTATATGGGTGGTGACTTTCTTAGCTGCCATCTTTCTTGGCCTGGACATTGGGCTAGCAACAGCCGTGGCATTCCAGCTGCTGACCGTGGTGATCCGCTCCCAGATGTGAGTACTTGCTGAATGCAATGGCATCCCAGGGCCTCCTGTTATAAATTTTCTCCCTCTGTACAGAGAAGGGCAACAGCTCTGTCTGTGCCTTGGTCTGTCCAGCAACCATGCATGGAAAAATAATTTACAGGCGTAAGCCTTTGGATGTGGGGGCTTGCCTCAGTGTGCCACCCCAGCTGAGATGGGTTCATTTGATCCTTCCCATCCCCCAAGTTCCAATGTGGGACACAAATAATTGTGTGTGTGTGTTTGTTCACAGTCCAAGCTGCACTGTTTTGGCCAATGTTGGGAGAAGTAACATCTACAGAAACAGGAAGGATTACACTGATGTAAGAAATGTCTCATTTCTTTTACCACCTGCTGCACTTGTGCTTCTATAGCAAACATTGCCACTGACACTTTTACTTCATTTTACAGATCTATGAGCCAGAGGGAGTGAAGATTTTCAGATGCTCCTCTCCGATCTTCTTTGCTAATATTGAATTTTTTAGAGAGAAACTCATCACTGCTGTAAGTGTCTGGGGCTATTCTGAATATATGAATTGTGTGACACTTTGAGGTGGATACAGTTTCCCAATAATTGCTATATATGCAGTCATTCCACAGTTCAAGGATGAATTTTCTTTATACTGTTGCCACTACTGTAATATAACATGTATGCACACACCTCTGAGAAATAGAACAGCCTGACTCATGCTGAACTTACACCATAGAAATATTTATACCAAATATATACTTATACCATAACAATGCATATTTCAAGAAGAAAGGAGTGTAAACATAGATAATATAAAGGAAAATTTGTTTTATTTTATTCTATTTGCTCTTGTGTATTTTACACACAATAAATTCTAGTTTACTTCTCTTGCCCCAAGAACATAACCACAACAGTCAGAAGAATGCCAAATGGAATCATTCCCTCAAAGAGGTCTTAACATCTTTCATAACCTGGTGAATGCAGCCAGTGTTTCCATAACCAGCACAGAGATCCAGGACCCCTGAGCCCCCACTGTGTGAATGACGCCCACCATCCCCAGCCCAAACACAATTTGCACCATAACCTCCCTTTCCTGCTGCTCTTACTGGGGAGTTGACAAGCAGTGACTCCCCTGAGCACTCCTAATGAGCAGTTCGTTCTTCACATGAGGGACTGAAACTGGCAGAGCAATGAGGGAATCTGACACGTTTGGTTCTCCATGTGCTTGGCTTTCACCTCAGAAGAGCCTGAAGCTTTTTTTCTGTGAGGACAGATGTTCACACCACTCTTTCTCTACAAATACAGATACTTCTAACACCCTTCTCCTCTACACACTAGATGGATGAGGCAGAAGACTTGCAGGAATTTAGTATTTTAGCCTAATTTTATTATTAGCCTAATTTACCTGCCATCTAATTCTGTTAAAGCCAGCTCAGTCTCAAGAAACATATGCAGGCAACATGATAAAATCTGACTTTCTTCTTCAGTAAAAGGAGTGGGTGAATGACCCACGCTGCAGCCAGGAGGCACAAAGCAGATAGAAATCATGAGCTCTCAGATCTTGTCTACCTGGGTGACCACCTCATAATGCAGATGAGTAGGAGATGCCAGCACTGTGCCAGCCTGATGCAGTTTCTGGACTGTGCTAAGCACTGTCACTGCTGTAATGCTGTCCATGCTGGTATCCTAAAGCAGCCCTGCCTCATTTGCAGCCATTCCTGTAGACATTCTTCCAGCCTAAAAAGAGCCCTTGCTTGAATTTGTGAAAAGTGGTAAACAACATCAAGTTCAAACTATGGTCATCATGACTGTAACGAAAAACCGTATGAGGTGCTTTGTCCTTCCCCTGGTGTCACAGAGGTGGTTTTTTGTTTAATTATTCAAATTGCTCATTTTGCAGGTTGGCTTCAACCCACTGAGAGTCCTGAGGAAACGCAATAAAGCTCTGAGGAAGATTAGGAAGATGCTGAAGAAAGGACAGCTGCAAGTGACACCAGTATGTAAGGCAACCCCCCAGGGGTGAGGGGGGAGTTAAGCAACCAAGCTCCCTGTTTCATATGGCAGAGAAGGACCTCATAGCTTCCCTTCTTAATTGGATACACTATTCCCCAAGTTGCCACTTCATAAACACATTTAAAACCCAAGATTTTAAATGGCTCTCACAGTTAGAGACCTACAGATTTACCATAGGCAGAGATTGTACATGTCCACTGGAGTTTTGTTTGGCAACTCATGGCAGGATCAGATCCCACAGAAGTGAATATCTTTCTGCATTAATGGTAGGATAAAGCTGGTTTTCTCCCAGCTCAAATCCTGCATGCCTTTTGTTTGACTTATTCCAAAATTACTGAATTAAAATGTGTCTGGCAACTGGCTTCAGGAAGCAATAAAAAGCCATCATTAAGTGATTATGATGATGATTAAATAATTTCCATGTTTCTCCAGACAAGGGAGAGACAGAACTTTCCAGGTGGGTCCTGCTCTGTCTCATGGGAAGATCAGTTGTGCTTTGCCATTACTCTTGCCCTTGTATGAGAAGTACCACTACCCTGGCTGGGTATTAAGAAGAGAACTAATGATGATATTTTTCTATGTCAACACAGAAGGGCTTGATTTGCATGGCTAACCCTACATATGAGTCAGAGGAAGAGTTGGACAACAACAAGATAGAGGAGCTGGACCAGCCCACCATCATGACAGACTTGCCCATTCGGATCAACTGGGGCACTGACCTCCCCCCTGGCATCACTGTGCCCCAGGTCAACCTCCACAGCATCATTCTGGATTTCTCATCCGTGTCCTTCCTCGATTTTTCTGCCATGACAGTCCTCCGAAAGGTAATCACAATTCATAAGACAAACAGTGATCATATGTGAGAAAATCTTACAAATGCAGTTACACTTGAGGGATACACATGAGCAAAGGAATGGCACCCAGAGGGACCTGGGCAGGAGTGGGCCCACCTGAACCTCATGAAGTCCAACAAGACCAAGTGCAAGGTGCTGCAGGTGCATCAGGGCGATCCCCAGTATCAATACAGTCTGGGGAATAAATGGATTGAGAACAGTCCTTCAGAGGAGGAGATGGGGATACTGGTGGATGAGAAGTTTGACATGACCTGGCAATGTGCACTCACAGGCCAGAAAGCCAATCATATCCTGGTCTGCATAAAAAGAAGTGTGACCAGCAGGTGATTCTTCCCACTCTCATGAGAGATTCTACTCCACTCTCTTGAGACCTCACCTGAGGTAGGTGCCACCTGTGGGGTCCCCAACACAGGAAAGACATGGACATCTTGGAACAGGTCCAGATGAGAGCCATGGAAAGGACCAGAGGGCTGGAGCATCTCTCCTATGAGGAAAGGCTGAGAGAGTTGGAGTTGTTCAGCCTAGAGAAGAGAAGGCTATGGAGGCTATCCTATTAAGTGTGGCCTATCCATACTTAAAGGGAGCCTATAAAAAAGCATGGAAAGGGACTTCTTACACGGGTATACAGTGAAGGACAAGAGGCAATGGCTTTAAAATGAAAGAGGGCAGGTCCAGGTTAGAAGAAATCTTTTACTGTGAGGGTGGTAAAATACTGGAACAGGTTGCCCAGAGAAGCTGTGGATGCTCTATCCCCGAAACTGTTCTATGGCAAGTTGGATGATGCTCTGAGCAACCTGCTCCAGTGTAAAGTGTCCCTGTCCAGGGCAGGGGTTTGGAACAAGATGATCTATAAGTCCCTTCCAACCAAAACCATTCTATGATTCTATTCTGTGTTTGTAGTCTGCTTCTTAAAGGCATTGCTACACAGGCTGGAAGGCCAGTGGCAAACCTTGAGTTTATGTGAATTTGAATGTACATTTTCTATAGAAAATATTTAGGAAATAGTTTAAATAATCAATATAAATTGTCTTGGAATTAGTGTTGACTGTGGTACCCTTTCTTCACCTGGTAAGGTTTTGGGAAGCTTTGCAGAAATGTAGATATGAAATATAGCTTTAAACACCCAGCTGGAGTTGGAGCATTGGAGTTCCATTTCTTCTCCTGCTTTTGCTTGCCCAGATGACCTTGAACAAAAGCAAAAGGCACAACATTTTCAACAGTAGCAACTCCAGTTAACTGTCTGGAGACACAGAGGGTGTGTATTTCCATAGGAACTAAAGACCCACCATGACAGAGGGAATTACTGTTCTGCTCAAGCTCCCAGTTACAAAAATCTCCCCCAGAAGATTGTGAAGTAATTTTTTTTAGTTTCATCGTGTATCATGTAGATACAACAAAGCCATACAACTTATGAAAGATCACCTACTTCTCTGTGAGATAAAACTTTTCAATACTGCCTCTTTTGAAAAGGCTTAGCCACCCCTGTCTGCAGCCATGTGAAGAGATTGTCCCACCTCTATGTGCAACAGAATTTGAGTCTAGATCCACTTACCATCACAGATCTTAAATATCATAGAGTGGTTGGTATATTTGCTGTGGCGAATCACTGTAATGGTAACCATCATTACCAAGGGAGATACAGGCTAGATTTAAGGAGGAAGTTTTTCACAGAAAGAGTGGTCAAATACTGGAATCATCTGCCCAGGGATGTGGTGGAGTCACCATCCCTGGATGTGTTCAAAAAAAGACTGGATGTGGCACTTAGTGCCATGACCTAGTTGAGGTGTTAGAACATGGGTTGGACTTGATGATCTTAAAGGTCCCTTCCAACCTAGAAATTCTGTGATTCTGTGATTCTGTGATCAAGCCCAGCAGAATCTAAATGGTGCCTCCTTCTGGTTTAACAGACTTTGAAAGAATTTGTCCGGCTTGACATTGACATTTACATCGCTGGGGCATACGGTGAGTACTTGCCTTTGCATTGGCATCACCACAGATGCCTTGTCCCACTGCCTCCCCTGCTGACCACTGAGTATGGCTGTGGAGGATCACCCAGTTTTACCTTACAGTCTTGGATAGCAAACAGGTTCCAATAAGTGGAGGTGTAGTCCCTCCCAAGCTGTCCCCAAAATGCTGGGACCGTTCCTTTTACCTGTGGCCACTGCTGTGTTGTGCAGCTCTGGGCTGCAGGACCCACCATCATGCACCCTGGGCTAGGCATTAAGTAAAAAAAGGGGCTTCAATTCCTTCCTGCCTGGCATAGAGAGGGGAACTACTTATGGGCACTTCTGTTCCATCCTCTTGATATCTGTAAAGCCATCTGCTCTAATAAATAAAACAGTGTATTATACCAGCAACTCCCATGTTCACTCAGTGGGCATGCTCAGGATACACAATTTCTTCCTTTTTAAGGCCTGCAGGTCACTTGTGCTTTGATTTTGTTACCTCACAGAGGGCCTCCTGGACAAACTGGAGAGAAGTGCATTTTTTGATGAAGAGATTAAGCCATCCATGTTTTTCCTCACCATTCATGATGCGGTTTTACACATTTTGCTGAAGAAGGACATAGCCAACTCCCCCAAATTAAAGCTTGCTGAGGTAACACTACAGTCTTCATCTTTAATGACCTAAGTGCCTTTCCAGTATTGCCAGGCTCCCAGCAGCACCCTGCACAGCTACAGCTGTGTGTGCTACACCGTCTGTATTTTCAAAAAGATAGTCATTAAAACTCAGTTGGTCTCCAAGCAGATTGAAGAAGAAGAGTGGCTCCTGGTTCAGGTGTATGGAAAACCATTTGTGAAAGGATTGAATAATTCCCACTGGTGGCTGGCCTGGCTGTGGACTTCCAGTCACCTCTTTGGGAAGAACGCAGTGCCCATCCACCAACAGTCCTCTGTGGTCACCCACCCAGCAGAGACTGCTCAATTTGCTGCAGTGGCTCTTGAAAGGCAGACTTTATGCTGCTTGCATATAGGCTTTCCAGCCCCATCTGTCTTCAAAAGGAGTGCTAAAGTAGCGTGGATAAATTAGTACTGCCAGATTTGGTGATGGCCTTTCTGGGAGTGTTCTTAAATCATGAGCAAGAAAGGATCCTGTATACAATAAATGTGTTTAATTGTACCAGACCCAGAATGCTGCTCATGTGGAAACTGTCTAATCCCACTTAACTGAACTGGTCCAGATCTTCTGCACTGACCCAGTGGTGGAGGTCATAAAAGCCTGACAAGTGAGAGCTTTCTTTCTTCCATGTCAACATCCCAGGCATGTTCCAGAGATTTAAAAATCAAGACTTCTTTAGTGTGAAAAATTATAAACATTAAAAAAAAAAAAAAAAAAGCAATCAACTTCCTAACCCACAACTTCTTGTGCTCATTGCAGGAGAAGGGTAGAAGCAGTGACTGTGTCATCATCCCCAGGAACGGACTGCGCAGCCGGGAGTGCACAGTAAGGCTCTGCCTCTGGCCCTCCAGCTGGAGAAAATGCAGCCCAAAAAAGCTGCTCATGGGAACAGCTAGGTCAGATAACAAAAGCTGAGCTCTTGTTCCTAGCTGAGCTCTTGTGTCAGCTCAGGGCAGGAAGCCACCAGACAGTTTACTGAAGGGATTTGGCTTAGGGCAAAGCCTTACCAGAGTAAGAGGGATGGGGTCAGCTCTCCAGCCTTGCGGTGTGCGTGGAGCAGAGGGAAGGCAGGCAAAGGCTGCCTCACCTGGCTGCCTCACCTGGTCTCCTCACCTGTCCACCACAGCTCCTCCATGATAAAGTCACTGGTAGGATGGCCCTGTGGCAGAGAAGTCAACATCAGTCCAGTTTATCTAAATGTCTCAGGCTGAAGGGGAGTCTGGAGACAGAGAAAAGGAAGGGACACATGCAGCCTTTCAGCACAGAGAGAGAAGGGCTATCCAGCACAGGGCAAACCTGTAAGGAGGAAATGTCAGACCCCAGTCTTGCCACCCAAATGCTTCAGGGGATCAAATACTTACACATCATTTACCAGATGACACCTACCCTGGCTATTATTTACAGAATGTGGAATTTTTTTTTTTATTCCCTACAGATGCCAACAGAAACAAAATTTTAGACTTAACTTCCTAAGTATAATATCCTCCAGCAACACAACATCACAGAAGATGAATGTGGATGCTGTGATGAGCATGAAGACAGAAGGATACTTTTAAATACCTTAAGAAGGATTTACTACATAAAGTTATGTTTGAGGTTTTGAAATGGGCTTGTTAGTCTTTATGTGTCTCTGTATATATAAATGTATTTATGTATATATAGAGAGGCTAAAATCACACATTTTCTTATTTCATACCACAGTTTGTAGACAATCTGTACAGTTACTTGAGAATCTATAAATATTTGAAATCTTGTATTGGACACCACAGAATAATAGTTAAGACTGATATTTTATCTTCAGCATGTATATAACTTGAATAAAGTTTTCTTGATGGTTTGTAAGATATTTAGTAGACTGAGTTAAACTTGCTCTCAGCTTACTACCCAAGCACAAGCACAGTGTACATAGTGACTAATGTATCTAATTATGAAGATTGTAGGATTTTCAGATCAAAACACGATTAATTGATTTGCATTGGGCTTGTGTAAAGTGCACAAGGGAGGATACATTTATAGTGAACCATCGTAGATACATATGGAGTGAACCACCATGGTTTCAGTGGCTCCATGGCTGCATTTGTCCATGCACCATCAGGGCAGCTCAGAGACAGTGAGAGCAGCCTGTGAGAGACACGGCCCCGGAGCCTGCCTGGAGGAGCTGTGGGTGTGGAGCTGCCCGGGGAGCAGGCTGAACTGCCTGCATCTATGGACAGATGGGCAGAGGCTTCAGCTCAAAGAATCTACTCTGATACTCTGTACAACTGCTGTCAATTAACCCCCGCTGGAAGCCTAAGGCTTGAAGAGCTACATCACAACTTTTAGAGAAGAACACTCGATGCCCACAGTGACAGAACTTTTAATTTCTCATAGCAAGTGCTAGGGGTATAAAAATCTTCAGCCTAAAGGAAAATGGAACAATTCTTGGAGTCTGAAAGAAACAGCACTCTGAAATCACAAGAGTTTTTAGTTTTCAAAGCCTGGTTTTGACTTTCAGTCAAGCTGGGGTGGCCAGAAATGTGCATTTGGACTTGAAGAATGGCTGAAGGGAAGGAGAAAGTGTTCTGTACTACAGTTTTTATCTTCAGAGTATGCAGTTGTTAAAAACAAAACCTGTTAAATATTTTAATTTTTTTTTTTTATTTTATTATTCTGGAGTTATCTGATGAGAACCAAGCTGGAAGTCGGTATTAAAATTGTGGAGATTTTGACTATAGAAAGAATTAGATGAGCTTGAAGACAGAAGTAGACAAGTTCAGCTTTCAGAAAACACTCATGCATTTGCAGATGAATAACAAGCTGTGTTTCTGTGGTGGGTGATCATTGGCTGACATGGTGTGGAAGACGTGGCCCTTGGTGGCATCACCACCAAGAGATGCTGCTCCCTGCAGCACAAGAGGGATGGTGAGAGCTGCTCATACCAACCACTGCTCTTCTGAGCGTGCCACAGCAGATTCACTGTCAAGTACATGTCGTATGCCAGATCATCAGCACAGCAGTACCTGAAGGCAGGTACAATTAGCACACTGCCAAAGTGCCCTTCCAATGCAGTCTTCCAAAAAACAGAGTATAACACCATCAATCTTTCCAGAACAAGAAACTGATTTGGTCACTACAATATAAAAAAAAATTAAACTATTAGAGAGTGTCCAAAGGAGGGCAACAAAGATGGTGAAGGACCTTGAGGAGAAGCCATATGAGGAGTGGCTGAGGTCACTTGGTCTGTTCAGCCTGGAGGAGACTGAGGGGAGACCTCACTGCAGTTACAACTTCCTCATGAGGGGAAGAGGAGGGGCAGGCACTGATCTCTTCTCTGTGGTGACAGTGACAGGACCTGAGGGAATGGCCTGAAGCTGTGTAGGAGATGGTTTAGACGGGATATTAGAGAAAGGTTCTTCACCCAAACGGTGGTTTGGCACTGCCCCGGGGCAGTGGTCACAGCACCAGCCTGACAGAGTTCAAGGCTCTTGGGCACATGGGGTGACTTGCAGGGATGGTGCAGGGCCAGATTTGGACTTGATGATCCTTGTGAGTCCCTTCCTACCCCGGTAGGTTCCAGCCAGGCTACACCCGGTGGACTGCCGAGGCCAGGATAGTCTCAGCGGAGGCTCAGACCAAGTCCGATCTCCCAAGCTGTTCCTAGCTGCAGGCAGCCAAGCAAGCTCAAGTGATTTCAGCTCTCAGTGATTATCAGCGCTGTGTGATTATCAGATCTTTTGGCTTGCTTGTGGCTGTGGCAGCAGACGCAGGGAGAGAGAGGAGAAGCGCTGTGTAAGGTTCCGCAGGATTCTTTATTAGGGTGTCCCACAAAGGTTCTCAGTGACAGCTCTTCTGCCAAACCAGGCAGAATTAGGGCTTTTATACTCTTTTTATACAGAGGTTTTGAAAACTGTCCAATAAAAGGAGGCCTTGCAGGCCCTGGGCCTGATACACCTTCCAACCCAGACATTCTGTGATTCTGTGATACTGTGCAAAGCACAGGGGAAATTTCACTCTAAATACTCTGAACTTCAGGACTGAGTTCTCCAGTTCAAGAAAGATGAAATCAAATGTAAATTAAGAAAATTGTTATGAGGATCTTTGTAAAATGGAGAGCCTGTATCTAAGGACTGGCAAAAAGAGAAATAGATACAGGGATTTAACCTAGGATAGAGGAAAAGTTATGCAACATAAAAAAAATTATATTGTCCTGTAAGGGGAAAAAAATGAACTGGCCAAACTTAAACATGAACAAGATATTAGAAGATGATTCCTCATTTTTACAATGGTGAGACCCTTTCCAGCTGGAACAAGAGGAGCAAAAAACTAAGATGCTTTTAGGATGAGACGTAAAAATGTTCATGAAAATCATGATACCACATCATACCAGTGTAATCTGAACTGTCAGACTCAAGCTGCTCTTTTCAGTCCTGCGCTCACATGCACCTATACAGACCCAGGCAAACATCCCTATCAAAAGCAATATATGAAGTGTAGTATCTGGTGGAATATCACATACTGCACTTCAAAACCATATGGGATTTTTTGACAGACTTCAGGTTAATAAAAAAGATTATCTTCTAAATTGCACATCTCAGAACAATTAGTTTCTATACTAATGACTTTTCTGACACAGCACAGTGCCACAGAGGATAAATCCCCCTCCCAAAACTGTTCACCTTTTCTTAAATGGACATGGTACATAGGCAGCCTTGGCCAGAGAGCTTTGCACTCCCATGTCACACATCCCTACCAGCTACTTGCCATGTTCTTAAATCATCCTACTCCTTCTTTTTCAGTGTTGTACCAGCAGCAATTGTACTTCTGATGCTTTATGAGATATTCCCTCCGGTACTGGTTATTTCTGCAACTCTCCATTATTCCAATACTAGCATTTTTCTCTAATGCAGATTATAACATCTTGTGGGATACTGTACTGATGCAGATTTACTGCTCTATTTTTGAGACAGGGACCTTCAGAAACCTGACTATTTAGGTTTCTAAACATCCTGCACTGGGTGCTGTTGCTACTCAGTTAGAACACTACCATATACTGAGTTTTAGTATTTTACTCAGGAATTAAGCAAAAAGGCAAATTCCATACCTGCTTTTTGGAGAGCTGACAGGTATCATGTTAATTGCTCATCACATATCTTGAGCCTATCTCTCTTCAGCACAGTACAGACACTTTGTAACTAAATAACAATTTTACAGCCAGAAGATGGATGGAAAATGGAGAAGCCACAGTGCCAGAGATGTTCAAGCCTACTCAAGCCTGATTATCACTTTGCAGTGAAATGTGAAATACAGAAACAAAAAATTGTTTGTTCAATGTCTTAGGCCCAATGGAGAGTGGCTTATAACATGCAAACCCATATTTTTTTCAATTTCAAACTGAGTTCCTATGAAGGAAGAAGTATTCTTAAGCACTTCTTTACCAAAATGCTACTCACAGTTCCTATTCCTCATCCTTGTGTTCAATGTGAGGAATTTGTTTTTTCAGTCTGTATGCATTGCTCCCTTCTGCTTCCTAAGAAGATGCCTGAAAGTTTACCTGGCCCAGAAATGGCAAAGGACAGGTTGAGCAACAATCATCAGCACTTATGTAATTTTATTAGTGGAGGAAATAATTAATCATAAATTATCTTGAAGGTGTGTTCGAGCACTGGCTTTCATAAATAAAACTGAAGAAAACCCTTGACAACTCACACATATTTACTTCTATTTAGTTACTCATTTGGGGTTTTTTCCATAAGCAGTTATGCTGAAGTTCTTTTGTGAAACATTTCTACATAAAAATGGAAACATCCCTGCCTGCCCGCAGACATTACCACTCTTCCCATGACCAGAAGTGTATTACACTGAGTCCTACTGGCACTCAAGAATCACTTGAATTGTATTATCAAAAGTGCTCACTAAAGTTTCATAATGGCTGAGCTAATTTACCAGCTTCCTGCTGCTATTCCACCCACACATTTCTGGATGTATGCTGCATTTTTAAATACTTTAATCTCTTGCATTCGTGAACTGAGTCTACACTGAAAATAAATTTTACAAAACAACACCAACAAATTAATGCCTCATACTCAAGAGAATACACAGATCCCATTAGAGTATGAGAAGTTTCTAAAGTTGGTGTCTCATGGCTAAGTCAAGAATAAAAGGGGCTTAAACATCCTTATTTTCACTCACATTGCCCAAAGAAATTCAGTCAGTTCAGTTTGCAAACTGGACAGTGTGAATCACCAGTGTGAGTATAATACATCTGAACACAAAAGCTCAAAAGCTCACAACTGTGAAGGGACAATTACTGCATCAAGGTGATTTATGAATTGCTAAGAATTGTTTTTAACACCATAAAATAAATACGAAGGGAAATACAACTTGTATAATGCTGATATTTACTTTAGAAATGTAATCAGGATGAAAATGAATCCAAACCTTGCACATTTCTCTGCTGTACTGGACTCTGTGTCATACATA